AAGTTCAAGGGAAATTGGTTTTGCAATATGTTTTTTCAATAAAGTGTTCGCTTATAAGCTGCATTCAATTTTCAAGGATACCTTAAAGTTCTGATGAAATAAGAATATCATATTTAAATATATAGCATACATAATGTGAAGCTAAGAAATTTATTAGATAATCAATGCGTTAGAGCAATTGATTTCTTTATAATTATTTGCGAACAGATATTGGGCTTTTAAAGCTGTAATATTTGGACTTTGATAGCTTAATAGGCTTATAAATATTATATTTCTTCTTTTTCGATTTGATTCCTTTTTTTTTTAAGTGTAGGGTAGAGTAAAGTGAGAGCTCTTGCAATCTTGCTTGGGGTGGCAGATGGGGAGTAGGGCGAGTGCAAAGTAAACATGTCGAATGAAGGATACTTAAGCAGCACTGCGAAAGAGGGTCGCCCGAAAAGTTGACTCGTCGAGTGTACTCATTTGCTAAGTGACTTTAAACTGCCTGCAGGCCAAGCTCAGCGATTTGTTTTCCTTAATCCTTAACATGATTCCCTTACGGAAGGAAAAGCGCTCTTCTGGTTTGGAGGTCGTGACCCTCGGCATTTAAACGGTTTGGGCCATGGTAATCGATAATATAACTGGTGTTTATGAAGATTTAATGGCCTATTTTGGTATTACAATGTCCTCAATCGTTCGTTTTATTTTTGTACTTTTTACATTGCGTTATTAATGTCAAGGCAAAAGGGTCAAAAATAACATAAAGTGTTTTAGTTAATTAAAGGTAAATGGGATTAAATGGGGGCTTTAATGTATAAAAGAATAAGATATATAAAACTTAGATGAATTGAAAACATTACTTAAACAATATCTTTTATTCAGTTTCCAGAAATAACTTTTGCTTTAACCCCCGCTTGCACTCCACTTTATTTGGATCTGCCACATTACAATATTATAAACAATAATCCGTTCTCCAAGGGGCGAAGCACAAATGGCACAATTCCTGGGATGCCAGGAGGTCGGCCAGACACTTTGGCACACTCCCTTTCCCCGGAAGACCCGCACACACAGATGTCCCGGGATGTCGAGCGCCACTTAATGACATAAACACTGGCCATGGCCGTTTGTTTGGCCCTGAGTTGTGGCATCTGGGGTTGTGGCATCTTGAGGATTGCAGGGACCAACCAACCATCCACCATCCACCAGCCAGCAGCCATCAGCCACCATTCACCAGCCCGTTCCAGCCATCTTAGAACTCCGGCGGAAGTTGGCCTAATGAGAAAAGCGTTGAGCCGCCAATCCGCCATTCTCGACCTCGCTCACGAATTAACCACAGAGGAAAAGAGGGCAACGGGAATCGCTGGCACTAATATTATTAATTTGCAACTTTTGTTGTTGCTCCACTGCGCGAGTAAAGTCAAAGGCAAATATCATTCATGGCATTTAGTGGGCAATAAAATACACCGAGGAGAACGGGCGAATTTCCATTTTCATTTCGATTTCCAGTCGAGTGAGCGGGGAAAATGCGAAACTGATTTAAATGCCTTCTTAAGCGTATTTCCGGCTTCGGCTTCGGTTATAAATATTTGCTTAACTGATTGCACAGAATGAAGAGAGAAATCGAGTCAAGAAACACTTTTTCGAATTAAGTCTTCGTCATTGTTCAAATTGCTTTTTGTGGTTGCTCTATCCTCGCTTGTTGGTTCTGTTTTTGATTCTGCTTTTCGGTTTGTGCAATTGACATGTTTTTATTAAACTTTTCATCGATTGGGCAGCAAATGGCGTGCAATATGGAATACAAGATTTGTGGTCATCCCAGACGAATTCGTTGAGCAAAACTTGCAGTAGAGTGCGAACAATTTGCGGTTAATAAAAGCCATTAAAGGCAATCTCCAACAGAACGATGATAATTGAAAATCAAATAGAAAGTGTCGAGCAGTGATTTTTGTCAATAGCCGAAACGCATCTGCCATTCGATTGACAGAATTCCCTAATTAAATTTTCAATCTCGGGCGACAAAAGTGTTTGCCGGCATTTAAATCGCGCACAAATCGCATCATTACGCCCGGCTATGAATTTGATTAGCTTATGGCTAAATCCAAACAGACGGGCCAATCGGAAGGCCGACAGAAACAACAATGCGATGCGAAAATGCCTAAAGGCATTCATTCTATTTATCATTTATCCAGCCATTTATCGAAAGACATTCGAGACGCCGCCTTGTTTGGTTTGGGTGTGCGATTTGGGTTTGGTCGGGGGTCCGATGAGATATTGCCAGAATAAATGAAGGCATTTACATTTAAAACATTTATGCGCAAATATTTACCGGCTTTAAGGGCGTCAGACGTATCGGGCGAGGCAGACTCGTATTGTCTTACATTCAGTTGGGGAAACGGTCTGTGCACAGAATCCCACTGAACTCGAAACCAACCGAAAGTTTCCAGCAAATAAAACATCCATACACGAAATGATACACGAACGCATGTATGACTAAACAATCTCAAACTCGACTGTATTAGTTGAATTCAAACTTTTTCGAGCGTAACTTGAAAAGTTTCAATTTGTGCATGACAATCTACGTCTGTCTGTCTGACGGTCCGTCAGCCGTCCTCTGTTTTTCTGTTTCTATCCAACTGTCTATCTGTCGGCGCTTGTACGTGTGGGTTGGACCATATGTCTTTTAGTTTAGCACTACACTGAGCGAAAATCTAACTCTGAAAGAGCCTCTAAATAAGGTGCCGCCTACAAAAATGGCCTTAGATGTTGAATAGGGAAACGCATTTTAAGTAAACCCAAACTATTTATTGTTCTACTTAAATAACTATTAGGCTTTGTTCTATTTTCTATACTAGTTCCCTAGTTTTATCTAAGCCCTAAAGGCATTTGTAAAGTTTTAAGTTTAGAGTAAACCTTTCTTAAATGTCACTAATAGCACAACAAGATTTTGTTTGAGTTTTACCAAAAACAATTGATGTAATTCTCCTCTGGCTAAATTTGGTTTATTTTGAAACCCCACAAATTATTTTATTTTCCTTAAAATCACTTTAATTTTTCACAACAAGTTTTTTTTTTCAAGGACACTGTTTTTTTGTGTTTCGTTATTTTTTTTTGGGTTCATCAAATGTTTTTCCATCTGCAGCAAGTTTCGGGGCTGGGCTAAAAAAGTTTGTGCAACTCATAGAATGTATAGAGTTGTGAAGCAATCAGCTGCCAACTTGCGGGCTTTTGCTAAATTTGATTTGAACGGGGTCCTGGCCGAATTTCAATTAAATGCAGGTGCACTCGTAGGTGCAAATCGCAGGTCGAGAAAATCGATAGCCAGACTCAGGTGGCCTGAAAGTCGGTTTCGCAGAGACGGCAAGGCAAGTCAGCCAGCCCATTCACGAATGCGAAAAAAGGCCAAAGGCTGACGGCCAAAGGTGAGCACCTCGGGGCCTCAAAGGGGTTTCGGTGTGAGAATGGAAATGGTTCAGAGCCGCTGGCTGAGCGAATCAAGTGGCAAATGCCAAATGGCATCCTGACCTGGCCGAAAGGCAGCAGAATCACCAGCAGCAGAAAGAGCAGCAGGAGCAGCAGCCAAGTCAGTGGATAAACTCAAGCTCGGTTGGCGGCAAATGGCGTGCACCGTGATACGGGAATGGGGAAAAACTAACGAGAGGAAATTGTGTTTCAGCAATGCAATGAAAAATTATTGTGCTGCAGTGAAGCGGCAACGGATATTTGTCAGTTGCGAAAAAATTGATATGAAAGCGCATCAAGTCGAGGAAAATGGCGCTGAGTACGTGCACAATGTCTTACTCAATTTCAAATTAGAGCAATAAATGTGAACATGAAGGGCGTGAAAAATAAAGTGAAAATTGCTTGTGTTTTGTTTAAAAATTTAATGCAATCACTGGAATTGGATTGATGTACTACAAAATGAACAAGCAAGAGTGTTTATGCAATAAAAATTGTTTTCATGGTTCTTTATTGTCTGTTAACGTTATTGTTCTTTCAAACAAAATGAAGTTTATTTCATACACAACATTTATCCCAAAAATATAATTGTTCCGAATGTTTTTGTTCTTAATGTTATTTGAGAGTCTGATAAAATGTTGCAACCTTTTGTTTTCTATTATAACAAATTATAGCTTTAAAATGTTGAGGATTAACACATGAACTTTAGTTTAACAAGCGACTTAATAGTCAAAAATTTGTTTGTAAACCCTTTCATTTTTATTATACAAGCAGCCATTAAAGTAGACGAGTTTTGAAACTCTCGCTCAGGTTTTGGCTTGTTTTTAATTAACTTAATCTAGATTGTCTACGAAATGACACTTTTGCTGAACTTGGCTCGCAGACCTTATCCCTTAACATCATCATAGTTAGCTCCATTGTACGAAGGTCCCCAGCGTTTATCTTAATCGCCAGGACCTAGACTCCAGACTCTAAGCCAATAAAATAAATAGCACGGAATAGCAAATCGCCTAGTGAATTTTTAACCACTGTTCATTGTGCGATTTGTATCATTAGGAACAGGAGACTGGAGGAGGAGCTGGAGGCCCAGACAAAGCAGGACAATCTCGGAGGGCTGTCGGCCAACTGGAACACACAGTAGTGTAGTTCCACCGACGGCCGACTGCGGAAAATGTACATATTTAAAGTGTCGGCCAACTGGGGTTTTCAACTTTATTAAAAAGGCGGCAGACGGCGGCGGATGGCGGATGGCGGATGGCTGATGGCGGATGGCCATGGGTGGTGACCCCAAGAGCGGGACGCTTAACTAGACAGCACTTCCAGTTTACGTAACCACTAAAAATGGCGCTCAATGTGTTTTCCGTTTGCCGTGTTTCCCCCGGTTTTTCCCCCTCCCCCTCCCATTTTCCGTGCTTGTGGTGTCTTTCGGTGTATTCGAGTGTTGGTGTGCGCTTTTCCCTGCTTTCTTTCTCTCTCTCTCTCTCTCTGTGCTTTTCCCTGTTTTTCACGTGCAACGAGCGGTTTGAAGAAGAAGTTTCTTTCTGTTGTTTTTATTGTTTGCTTACTTGCTCAACACGCGCCGAACGTCCGCCGTTGATGATGAGGAGCGTTCGAATTCCGGCAGGATGAGCCCGCGATCCGCGACGCCTTCATTGTCCTTCCTGATTTGCCTTCCTCCTTCTGCCTTCTGCCGCACAAAAAATAATGAAACTTTTCCCGCTCGGCTGTTGCTTTTATCGCAGTTTATTGTTAATGCTGTTCTACTTGCTGTTGTTGTTGTTGTTGTTGTTTTTGTTTTGGTTGATAACAGCCCAAACTTTTAACACGCGCGGTTCGTAATTTTTTAATGCCTTCGATGTTGTGATATTCTACTTTTTGCCTACTTTTTTCTCTCGTTTTTTTTGTTGTTTTTTTTTTTTTTTTGGTGTGTGCCAACAATTTAATTTGTCATTAGCCAGCGAACACTGCTCTATTTATATTGCTGTCCGCATTCGAATATAACAGTGGCGGATCCACGGGGGGGGAAATTAGGGAAATTTCCCCCCCCTTGGAACCACAGAACCTGAAAATTTTACTTGTTTGCTATGGTTGACTTTTCAAATATAACCACTTTGTTTACCAAAAAATTGGGATGGATAATTTTTGTTTTATAATTTGTACTGTATTTCTCTCGCAATAATAAGTTTGAACCCCAAATCGAAGAATAAGTTCAATTTCCCCCCCCAAGAATCGTCTCTGGATCCGCCACTGAATATAAAAAAGAACACCCGAAATCGATTTGTTAAAATGGAATTTCTTTTTGATTTCTATGCCCACTCCGGGAAGAAGTTTGCCGCAATTTGCGGCACGTTTCTCCTTCTTTTCCTTTGCTTTATTTTTTTTACTTTTTTGTATATATCTATGTGTATAAAGTGTAGCGTAAATACGTACAAGACGACTCACAACTCACAACTCACGGCTTACGACTTACGGCGGTCATAAATGGAGTTTCGTATCGGTTTTTGTAATGCCGCAGAATCGAAACACGCACACGCGAACTCCACTGTCCAGCCGGTTTTTCCTGTTAAATACAATTCGTTTTATTTTGTATTCCCCCACTCGAGACAGATGGGAAGAATATATAACAAGAACTGTCACTGGCACTTTGGGTTATGTGTGTGACAAGTGGCCACAGGTTTCAATTGGCTTTCGTTGTGGTTTTTGTATTTATTGCTGACTCGCAGGCCCTTTTTTTTGGGCCTTTTTCCGGCAGCGATCCGTGGCGATGAGCGCCTGCTCTGGTAACTGGCCACTGACTGAATTTGGCCAAGACGGCAAGACGGCGGGCCAAGTCCTTTGGCGGCAAACCAAGACAGGATGCGGCGAATTCGAGGGAGAGAGCTTCTGCGCAGTGGCATTTGGCGGGAAAAGGATATTTGAACAGCAGGCAGAGTTGCAAGGAAAGGTAGTAAAATGTTTAATTAATATACCAATTAAGTTGTGCTTTAATAATAGATAATTTAGAGGGTAACATCTGTTTTTCATAGCATACTTAACAGGGCAATGAATGGTTTCTTATTAACAAAAATTATAACTACTTTTTCCTGTTACCTTTTAAGCAACCCTGATTTAAGCCACCCCTTAAACAGCTGTTCGAAGCTCCCCAACTACCTCAAAGCCCACACTCTAACCTTACCATCCAACCATCCCCTCCAAGTGCCGAATTTGCCGCACAAAAAAAAAGAGAATCCCCCAAGGCGCTGAAGTCAGGACAACTATAAAGTAACCCACCATTGCAGGGCGTCAATATTTGCATTTGTAATAAAAATATTTTGATGCCACCCCGCCAAAACGAGTGCGTAAATCTAAAAGAGATTTGTTATTTCAGCGCGTGTTCGTGTCGTGCAAATCAGACAGCCACAACAACAACACAAGCAACAACAAAGGGGCGTGCCACCACGACAACAACAACAGCAACACCCAACATCAGCAATTTAAGGACTCAAGCAACAACAGCTGACGATGGCAATATGCCGGCATTCGAGCTTGTCTCTGCACATGTCAAAGTTATTAAAATTTCATAAAAAATACGAATAGAGGAGGGTTGAGGAGGAGGAGTCGGGGCGGGGGAGGGTGGAATTTGATTCAACGCTTGTTGTTGTTGTGTTGTTGTGTCACTGACAGTTGTGTGCTTGCCACCTAAGTGACGCCCCGAGTGACGGACTGTCTGATAAGGTGCAGGTCGTTCGGTTCGGTTCGGTTTGTTGTCTCTTTTAAATATTGAAATCCTGATGAGCAATAAGGCACCCATCATTGCTTGCCCTCTGATTCTTTGGGGCCAAGAAGCGCGTGTCTATCACTTGTCATGGCCAAATTGGAGGGCCTTATGAGCGATGATTGCCCCGATGCCATCGTGCATCACTCACTTAACAGCAGCAGCGAGGCGTCCGTGGCATGGAATGGGTGCAATCTAGGCGCCACGGCTGACTTTGATGAATCGAGTTTGATTTGACTCGCATTTATTACGCCATTCCTCTGGTGAGATTCGCAGGAGCTAATTTAAAGAATTATTTGAAGCATTTTAAAGGTCCTCAACCTGCAGCACTCTTGTTATTAATATTGATTGATGCACATCAGCCGACCAAAAAAATGTTAAGCAGAATTTATTTAATTTGATTCGCCCCAAAGCGGAATTAATTAACCCGCTGTCAATGTTTATTATTTCAAAGAAAATATTTGAATTTTTCTGTTGCCACTGCGCACACAAAAAACTATGTAAGCTATATCTATCTATATTAAAGTTTGTAAAGTTTTTTATTGCACCAATAAAAGTTACCTAAACAAGTCGAAGATTTTATACTCTGCAACATTAGTTGACGTTTGAAAAAAAAAGATAGATTTTATAAAACAAATATTTTTAATAAGCAATTTAAATAAAACTTATATCATAATTTTGAAAAAAACCAAAAAAAAAAAAAAAAATTGTGTAAATTTGGTACATAAGTTTAGCAGATTTAATTATATTACTTTAATGTAACTGAAACAACCAAGTTAAATTAACATTAAAATAATATATGCAGTCATTGTTGAAAGTGGTCAACCGAATTTTACGTGACAACTTTAAAATTGAGCCAATAAAGTGCACATAACGTGTTGGTCATGACCAACCATTAAAACTTTAGTGTTCTTAATCAAACCTATTACTTTTTTCGGCTGTTGGGTTAAAAACAATTAAATAAAAATAATATTCATTTTATTAATCAGTCTAGTCGGTATTAATTGTTTTCCTTTGAAACGGATATTGCAATTTCGTTAATTGGATTAATAAAAAGCCAATCGATCATCGTTTAATGTAGTTTTTTGTCGTGTACTCGCTTTAATCAACATTTTCGATTCACAAACAAGCACACAGTTCCGCAGAGACTACATAATTTTTTCTTTATGAGTTTTTAAATGCTGAAAAAGTTCGTGCCGGGCTGTAAATAAGGTGAGAAGTTTAAACTTGTGCAGGGCAACTTTTCGATGCGGTGTGTGTCACCTCTTGCTAAATAAATTTAATATATAAGGCCCTATGAAATGGCAGAAACTTTGGCTTTTCAGATGCCGTAACCGTTTGTTCAGGTATTTAAAGCGTGCTAACTGATCTGCCCCGTTCGGAGGTGGGTCCTATGATAAATTACTTTGCCAAAGTGATGGAGAGATGGGGTTCACTGGAATCAGTTGCAAGGGAAGGTTATGTCATTGCCATGACGCCGGTTAAATTACACACGCATTTGCCAAATAAAAATCACTCATTCGACGCGTGTGCCGAGGCACCCACGGGTTGCCACGGGGCTTTTGAACAAATTTGTAATTTGTCAGCCGGATTCGGAGCGGAGTTGGAGAGACTTGACAGTTATTTAGAAGTTCACAACTGTCGCCGGCAGTAATCAGCTTTACTTTTGTCCTGATAATATGCTGTTAATGTACTTCGATGCGGAGTGGGTAATTTTGGGTCTCCGCCGCCTTTATTTACTTTCCCGGACTTTACTTTACTTGTCCAGAACTTTGCCCTTGGTTATCAGCAGTTGTTGGTTGGATGGAATGAAAATGAAACACGTTCGTTTGGCTATATTTGTAGTTTTTTAAATTTATTTCGCTTTCTGTTCTTGTTTTCCAACTTGAAGTTTGTTATGTTGCTTTATAATACATCTGAATTTCATATTCGCTTAGTTAGTAGCTTAGTTTGCCATTTACTTCCGTTTACTCCCCACTCGAGGCTAGATTTGTTTGTCAGCTTGGCTTAATGTTAGGATCCTACTTTGTTTTGCATGGGAAATTGCACAGCAAAACAGAAAACAATTCAACGAAAAGTCCTGTTGTCAGTAATAATAGTAATAAATAACTCGCACGCACATATACACAGACTTGTCAATATACAAATACAAATTACACATACAATATTAGTTTTTTGGGCGATGCTGTTTATAAAAATATAACAAGTTCTTTGGAGATTCGGTTTGCGGTCATCTCGCTCGTTCTACTCCACCTTTTCGAAGGGAAAGTCACACAATAAATACTTACTATAAGTTTAACATTTATTTAGACACCTATTTATACACACTCTATATGTTACATACTGAGCTTTGGCTCTAATCCTTGTTTTCCACTCGTGGCAACAGTATTATGCTATTTTTTTGTTTTGTTTCAGACTAGCTTGGGAAATCAGCTCAAAAGTTTCTGCCTCTTTCATAAATTTATTTACTTGACAAATGTTCTTGAACTTCTGCTCGGTTTGCGTAGCAAGAGAGAAAATCATAAGTCGGTAAGTTTTGCGAACAAACGTTTGGTAACATCTTATGGGTTCGTTAGTTATTTATACAAAGTACACAAAATGCTTTGTCCACTTATTTGCTTTTTTTTATTCGCCTTATTTGCATTAACATTGCTTTTCATAGTCGATTTCACAGTGGAGTTTCTGGTTTTTCCTTGGGGTTTCACGGGCTTTCTATTGTTGCGGAATATTGGGCCGCAATTGCTGGAATCAAGTTGCTGACTTCTGAAGAATTTCTCAAGCCTTGCCCTCACAGGCTACACAGTCAACTTAATTCCAGGAACTGCAACGCAATTACCTTTTACTTCGACGCAGCGACACACAATTCGACACTAAACACTTTGCAACGAAAACGCTTTTGGGAATCGGTTCCCGAACTACAAACACACACACACACACACGCACACTCACGTAATTTGGTTAGTCTGATATCGATGCACTATATTCTGGTTAATTTATGTGGGCTTTAGCTTTGATTTCAACCGAACGAACGCCTGGATCCTATACTGATTCGACTATATATTTGCGCTATGTTTACTTGATATACGTTATAAGGTTTACGTTAGGTTTTGAGCATTTTCAATTCATGCGATTGTCGTTCAAATAACAATTGGGTTTAGCTTTGCTTTAGCAATCGTGACTTTGTGGGGCTCGACTAAATTTCTCTGATTTCTGATTTTTTAATTGCGTGGGAGGTGTGGTTTTCGCGCGGGGGAAATCCCCTTTAATTTGCAGGACTCTCTCGTAGTGGTCTATAATTTGCGGTCTCTTAATTGGCACAGTTTAGTTTTAGCTTTAGCTCATCGTTTTTGCGAATCCCTATGTACACACGCATAGCTCAGTGAGTTGCAGTGATTGCCATTTTAATTAATTTATTTTTGGTTATTTTCTTCTTTCTTTTTGTTTTTTTTTTTTTTTTTTTTGGGTGAGCAAAATGCTTTACGGCTTACAGTTTTCCGATTGGCATACAAGTATATATATCGTACATATAGAAATGAGTTTACAACCTGTGCTTAATTTAGTCGTACAAAAATACTCAGTATTTACAACAAGATTTAAACGACACGAAATCATAAATAAATAAGTTATACTACATAGGGTTCGAGTGAAACTCGGCAACGGAAATCGAACGTAAAATTGAAAAACCAAAGAGCAATTTCAAGCAAATGAAATGGCACGCTCCGATGCCTGATTGATTAATGTCAACATTACGATTAAATCAGCCCGTGCACGAGACGGCATAATAATTTTACAAATTAATGGAACATTTTAATTGCATTAAACTGATTCCTTTTTCCCCCCGATTTTCCCTTTCCCGTTTTCCTTTTTCCTCTTTCCCTTTTTCTTTTTCCCGCCGATTGCAATCGATTTACACATTTTACACATGACTCGAGGCCGTCGAGGCGGCGGCATTGTTGTTCTTGTTCCATTTGTTGATGTACTCCATGGGTATTTCGATCTGGATCTCCTGCACGTCGTCGCCTGCCAGACAGTCCACATTCGCCTTGGCCTTGTCCCGGTCTTTGTCCTTATCCCGATCCCTGTCGGCGACCGCTGCCAATTGTCCGCCCAGGCGGGATCCGCCCGCCGCCAGCCGCTGCTGCTGCTGGGCAATGGGGGTCAGCAGCGCCTCGTCCCTGTATTATAAGTTGTCCACCATCTGCGACTGGCGGCGGTGCGATGGAGTTGTCGAGTTGAGGTAGCTCTCCGAGTAGACGCTCTTCGCCCTCTGATCGTACCGCAGACTCGACCGCCGGATGTCGATGTCCAGCGGCAAGTGACGGTCCCGCCACCAGTTGCAGAACAGGCAGAGCAGCGTGTTGCGGAACGCCTCCCGGAAGTCGCGGTTGAAGTACGCGTAGATCAGCGGGTTCAGCGTCGAGTTGAAGTAGCCGATCCAGAACAGGATCGACACCACGATATCGGGCACCTGGCACACCACGCAGGTCATCGAGAGCGTGTACCTGGAAAAGTAAGTAACACTATTAGCTTCGAGCTTATTTAAATTCATTGGGAGAGTTATCATGTTAAAACCAAATTTAATAATGTTAAAATGTAGACAAGCTCCAAAAAAACAGAAAATGTGAATTTTCCAAACGGAATTCCTTTAAATTTATCTGTTTTATTTGTTTATTTATTTTTGCAATCAAGGCGCAAAATCTAGTTTATTATGGTCATACAGTATACTAAGGAAAAAATCCATTTAATTTACAGTTTCTGAGCTTTAATTATATTTTAGCATAGAACGTTTTCTATTTTAAATTTATTCATTTAAATTTTATAAATTAGTCAAATTAAGACATTTATTTTATACATATTAAACGAAAAATTCACAACATTTTGTTTTTCATTCTCTGTATCAGATTGTTGTGTTTTTAAATGAATATTAGCCACTTGAGCACCATTTAAAATCCCTGTCCATCACTTTTTGCCGGTGTACAACATCAAGATGAGATATATACACATAAATTCGAGATGCATGAGTGGTCCGGGGCTTTGCATAAATGAGATTATATTCGGGGCGGTGCGAAAAACAACAACCGCCGAAACAACGGCGCACGGGCCGTATGAGTAATATTTAATTATGCATGCGTGACATTAGATAAATTATGCCTCGAATCCCGAAGAGTCAGCGGGACGCAGAGTCATTTGGCGGCTGTGTACGATTCTGTACTCACCAGAGGAAGAACGGCAGCCAGCAGAGGATGAAGGTGCCCATGATGATGCCCAGCGTGCGTGCGGCCTTGTGTTCCCGCTTCATTTTGATTAAGTGCTTGTCCTTAGTGGGGGTGTGCTCCTGCTCGACCTCGTGCAGTGTCAACGTTTTCGAGGACCCGGAGCCGCTCAGTGCCTCGCCTGCCGAAGAAAGAGGAGATGGTGAAGATAGAGGAGATAGAGTGGAGACTTGATAAATGCCCCGCCATCAGATAGGCCATGGAAGTGGGTGCACTCGCACTGCATCACTCGCACGGCCACGTATCAATCAACCCAGTCTCACAATGTTTTCATTGGGAACAAAAATTCTTGTTGACCATTTGGAAATGAAGATGTGATGACAAAATGTAACCATTTGTAATACCAATATATATTTTGTGATTATTTGGCTAGGAAAATTAAGTGATTGCCACAGAATTCTAGTGAGCTTTAAATTCAACTCGAAAATGGAAGCATACTTTCAGGAACCGTTTTAAGAGATTTCCTTGTGATTTATGCATAATAAGACGGAAAAGATTACTCTTCCACTTTAATAGCAGTACGCTAATCAAATCATAATAAAATATTCCTCCAAATGTCTCTTCAGAAAATAATTAAATTTTGTTTAAATATTATTAAATAAGAATGATTAAAATGCCATATATTTTAATATGCATTACTGAAATTAAATTAATCATAATAAATATTTGCACACAAAAAATTAAATCTTCTAATTATTAAATGAAAATTTGTGGCATTTATTGACATATTTAGCTGATTAAAGAATTATCCTTGCCGTAACGCCTTCAATTATTTGCGTTAATTAGTTGATTTTTTCATTGCTTTTTATTTGGTTAACATTTAATTGACTTCACACCCCATGGCCAACCAGTAGAATTTCCACCCCAATTCCCAGCTGAATTTACTCCCTTTAGTGGGGTTAATAACTCTTGACCCAAACTCACCCGAAGGTTGCATGGAGGGGCGGTGCATGAGCATCGCGTTGCCGTGCCGCATCATCAGCTGCTTTTCCTGGCGATTCGCCTCGCGGAAGATGGCCAAATAGGTGAATATCATGATGGTGCAGGGTATCCAGAACGAAATCGAGCTCGAGATGACGGCATAGTACTTGTTCACCACGAAGGCGCACTGCTCCGGATGCTTGTCCACGAATACCAGGTGCTCTTCGGTGGTATACCAGCCAATGAAGATGGGCAAAAATGAGAGCAGTGCCGGCGAAATCCATGTGTTCAGGAGCATAATGCCGACCACGCGTTTCGTCATGCTAATCGGATACTTGAGCGGCTTAACAATCGCATAGTATCTGCAAGGTTTGCAAAAATTCCGGGTTATTGGTGCTCCACATGTGCGGACTTTCCCCTATTTTTTCTATTTTTTTTTTGAAGAGGAGGTGCTTACCTATCCACAGATATGCAGCATAAATGCAAAATACTCGCTGTTGAGAAGTAGACATCGAGGCTGTTCCACAAATCGCAAAGGAAGGGGCTGAAGTTCCAGCTGAAAGAGCACAATGAATTGAGAAATCAATATCGAAATAATCTCCCAATAACCGGGCAATAAACATAGGCTTTAACTTTTGAAGTCATCGTATCCGATTATCGGTTGCATGATTCGGCAGTTGAAATATCTGATGATTCATTTCTCGTTTTTCCCTGACTTTTAAAACGAACCGCGAAATGCTTTTATGAAGTCATCCCTATTAAACGGACTTCCAGTTTTTCCCCTTGTTAAAAATTTTGTTTTCCACTGTAACATTACTTAATGATAGCACATTATTTAAATTCCGGGAAATGTAAATGTAAATTAAGTGGCCATTTAAACTAACTTGCAATGCCTACAATTATTTGCCAATTATAAAATTAAATCAATAGAACTTAAATAAAATACAACTCATTCTTTATTGCGAAAAGAAGCATTATACTTTATAGCTACAATAAATTTGCGAACATTTATTGACGTAAGGTAATAAAGTCCAACCGAATTTAAATTTTTTATTGCCATTTAAAACTATTAAGATAAGCCAAACAGTGATTGACCTAGTTTAAATATTTACAACCATTTAAAACTAAATGATACCGGCAGTTTGGGCCATAAAAAAGTCAAAACATAAATGTAGTAAAATAGGTCTACACTCAAGCGCCACTTTACTGCCAATTCGTGAATGTAGGCCAGTAAAAACCCAGTCCGCCTAGACAATCCACTCTTCTTTCACCCACTTTGTTATCAGGCAGCCTGATTTATGTGTTTATCGATTTCATCTTAGTTTCGGTTGCCAGGTGACATTGCCCCTGAACTGCCGCCGTGGAGGCCAAAATTAAAAGCTTAAATGCACTGTGCGACCAGAAAATAGGCCATAAGGCTTGCGGGGCTGGAGGATCGAGGTGAAGGGCCAAAAAGGAGATGGCTGGCTGGCTGACTGGGTGGCTGGCTGGGCTGCATGAAAAACTCATTAAAACTTGCGTCGCTCTGGCTGTCGCCGTCGCCCTTGGTTGCCACTCCATTTTGGCCGTTTGGTGGAGGTGGCTCCTCATTTCCTTGGTTCCTCATTTCCCACCCAGCTCCCCATTTTCCCATTTCCCCAGCTTTTTGGCCAGGAGGCAGTTGAATTTATTATCGGGCGCCCCGTTTGGCATCAGTTTCAAAAACTTTTCGACTATCCAACGAGGCTGTTTTTGCTCGCTCGGTTCGTTGGCGCTTTTGGGGTTTCGCACTCCATTCGTTTTTTTTTTTTTTCCTTGGGGGGCGCCATGATTTTGACGCTTAAGCCACGAAATGGCAACTGCCGCTGCAATTATGCAACTAGCAAACTGTGAAGGTGAAATGGCTAATGAATGCCAAGTGGAGGAGGTGGCTGCTGCCAGAAAACCAGGACGATGGCAACCGATGCCAATTTATATGCAACTCGCGCCGTTGAAGTTTTTTGGCACGGCAGTAAGTGCACATAATGTGACTTGAATGGGCAACCCACCACCAACTTTCAACCACTCACCACCCACTCCATCGTCACCATCATCGCCATCATCTCACGTTGTCGCCGACAGTGACATTGCAAACATTTACCCGGGTCCCTCAGCGGCAAAGTCGGGCTTAAAGCGCGGCCTTTAAACCAGCCTCCATGCATAATTAACTGGGCTCAGTCGACTGCCGTTGCCACCGCCGCCGCGTCCACATATCCCCATATCCACATATCGCATTACCCACACAGACGGAGTCGGACCGCCGGACGTTCGGCGTGAAGGATGTGACCATGTCACACTCTGACGGTTCTCGTCCTTTGGAATAGCTTTTCAAAGTTGTCGTTTCCCTCTCACTGGATACCAATTGCTTGTTTTAGTTGCATTGGGCATATTAGGTTAAGCAAATTTTAGAAGGGTTTTTGTGGTAGTATTTGTTTCTAGCAGTGTAAATTATTTGTGTTATGCTGCTTCAAAAGGTAATTTAATTGTTTTTTAAAAGAAACTTGCAAATATAAGGTTTTAAAAAGTGTGAGGTTTGTTTATTTAATATGTTTTGCTTTTTGTTTTTGAGTAAAATATAGAAAATTAAGAAAATTATTTTTTGAGTTCAATTGATTTTAATCATATATAAGACACTACAACTTTCTTTTTCAAAAAGTCAAAACTACTCTGTCGTTATCTTTTTTTTTCTTTTATCTACAATTCCTAATGTAGGTTTAAAACATAAAAATGGTGTATTTGTAATCTTGATGGAATGCTGTTATTAAACATAAAATTCAAGAACATAATCTTGCTCCTATTTAAATTCCACACAAGTTGTCTCTGCAACTTTGCTAACTCAAATCCCACAAAGTAAAATGGGTATCCTGAAATCGTGTTCTTAAACGAATGCCTCTTTATTTGTTCTATTTTTCACATTTTAATTCTTGAACACAAATGCACGCACATGGGCACAGAAAGATGACTTTCTGCATTTGCATTTTCCTCGCACAACCATGCAAATACATGCAAAAAACGAAAGTGGGTGTATGTGTGTGGTAGGTACGGTCTGTATTTGTATGTGTATACATATACACACACACACACACAGAAACGCACAGGGACATTCACAGGAGCATAAATAAACGTTGCTTTCATTTTTCAGGGATTTTTGTTTTTGGTTGTTTGTTCTGCAACTGCCACGCCCACTTCTACACCCACTCCCGTCCCACTTCTACGCCCACTTTTACACCAAACCACCCACCCACCTTGGATGGGTTGGCATTTTGTTTGGTCTTGCCTTTGGTTGCAGCTGTAATTTTTGCAACAGTTTTGCCTGCTTTTGTTGCTCTGCTTAGGCTTTGTGTGTGTGTGTGTGTGTGGGGTGGGGATTGTTTTTTTTTTAGTTCCCCCCTCTTCACTTTTGTTGTGTTTTTTTGCCGTTTGTTGTTGTACTTACCGCCCAGTTACTTGCACACTAAAGTTAAATGTCATGGCCATAATAGCGACCATTATATCAGCCATGGCTAAGGAAACTACAAAGTAATTCGTTATAACTCTGCAACGAGAAGAAGGGGAGAACGAGATGTTAGCAATCAGGGGACAATATCAAACAATACATGAAAGGGGGAGGGGGGTTTTTTGCACCCCCCGTGGGGGCTAATCAGGATCTATCGTATGAGTGAGTGCGTGAGGATGCGATGGTGTGAGTGGTTAGGAATGGGGGAAAACCTCTTTTGTGTGAGTTGACAGCTTGGACCCCATTGCATTTCTCCTGCCAGCGGGGGTGTAATTGAAAAGCCAGTCAAGGATCGAGAACGATGTCGAACGATTTCTCCCACGGGGGTTAGCCGATACCCAATGAAAATCAGATATACTTTGTATACTATATATACAAGGGTACACTTCGGGGCAGGAGGGTTTGAATCGAGGCAGACCGCAATCCTCTGGGCAAACGCTTCCCAGCTTATACCTATTTTGTTATTTAAATTGAATTCCATGGCAGAGTGCTGGCAAATGCTTTTGCCAATTAGAGTTTTCACTAGTTGCCGACCGAGTGACTCTCTAATCGGATGAGTGCAGCTACCTCATTGAACTCCAGGCTGCCGCCTTTCATTTGCCATTGCCACTAAGCCAAATGGAAAAAGTTCGCAATCAAAAGTGAGCATTTACTGCACTCGAAAACTTTCGCTCAGTTATATTAATACGCAGGCATGAAAATTCCCATGAAATTTGATTGTGTTAATATTTTTGGGGTATTATTTACGTTTATTTTGCTTATAGCTTTATAAGAGTTTTATGTTATCCGAAATATTTTGCGCACATAAATCGGTATTTTACTCAAGGGCTTCCCATTTAGCTGAGTAGAAATAATTTGTAAAGCACTGAATTTGGAAAATCTCTAACAAATATTTGTTTAACAACAACATTGTGTTGAAAAGTCGGTTGTTTGGTTGGCATTTAGTACTTTCTATTATTTTTGTTAACGAACAGTACTAGACTGGTAAATATTTTCCTTTGTTTTGCTTTACATTCTAGAGAGTACGAAATTTTTGTGTCTTTTCTATCTATTGTTGCTTTAAAATTACATTAATCTAATCTCACGAGGCTATTGTACTTAGTTTAATGCTGAAAGTCTGGGCATGGTAATCTGTTTTGCTCCGGGCGACTACTTAAATAACTTTCAGCTTCTTAGACGTTAATTGCAACAAATCGACGCCATTCTTAGGATGTTCCGCCATTACTCAGGGGCTCCTTCCGCCCCTTCAGGCTACCCCTCCCCTTTCATCCACCCCCTCCATCAAGTTGAACTGCAGATAATTTGCCTGCCATTTAAATTTAAGAAAAATGGCGAAAAGGAGCCCCTTTTAGTGCTGAGTAAAGCCGGAAACAGTTGCCGAGCATCCTTCAAGTGAAAGCGCAGCGTTAATGAGCCTCGGGTTCTCCCCTCCCTCTCCCCATTCCCCCGTTTTCCCCACCCTCTGTAATGGCAAATTAAAGCACACACATATATATCTGGATTCTAGATATATCTGCTTATACACCCTCTATCTGGAGCACTCTTCGCTGCGGCTCATCGCCGCCAAATAATTTGGACGGAGGGAAGAAAGCGGTATTTTATTGTTTGGCATAGAACATTTTAAATTTATGCTGTCATAAAAACCATAAGCTGCCTTAATTGCCAAAGTTGTAGCCGCGCAGTGTGTGTGTTGTTTTTGTACTTGTTCACATTCCCGCGGCATCTCTCTAGCTCCTCTTCTTCTTTCCACCCCCTCTCCCATTTTCCATTTCCCTGCCATATCCCAGCACCCACCACCCACAAGCAACCAACCCACTGTCGTGTTCAGCATGCATTTTGTTTTTGTTCCATTTCTCTTTGAGCTACAAGCTCGCAGTGTTTAATTGTCATTTCTTTTCTAGCTGGGTGTGCGCTTTTTTCCTCCGTGTTTGTAAACTTTTTCCACATTTTTATTTCCATTGCCTCGTTACACGCTACGTATGCGTATTATTTGCCGCTGAGAACAATAGAATTTGTGCTGCAAGCTGACCATGTAGAAGAAGTTCTTACATTTCGGTTCTGTGTGTATTAATTACCGCATGTGATGCAGGAATAATTAATTTAATAATCTTAGCTGATTGCCATGTACGCTTAAGGTCATTTTAAATTTGAGAAAATATTTTTACCAACTTCAATGTGATTTCGTATTTTCGTACAACATTTTCAGGAAACATTTTCAGTTGAAGTACATTTTTCGCAATCTACTGCAAACTAACTTTCTCCAATAGCTACCATTAAAAGTTTTTTGTTTTAAATACAAGTTATTTCCTTGACCAGAGGCTTTGAAATCCCTCCTTTTTTTAAAGTTTATTATCAGTGCAAGGAAATTGTCTTGATGATCATCTATAGGCATCATCATTAGTAAATCCTGCCTGGGAGCACCTGAATCTACCAGCAAGCAAGTCACTTAAAAAGTAAAACGCTTCTCATTAGCAGCAAAGGCAAAAAGAGAAATTAAGCAAGGTTCAACCTTAATTATGCCTCGCCTTCCCCTTTTTATTATTTAAATATTTTTTTCTGCCTCGTTTTTCTGTGCCATCTAGCAAAGTTTGTTTGTTTCGCCTTTTGGCTTCATTGCCCTTCGCCAACTTTGGCTAAGAGCATTTAAAGTTTTCCCTCTGATGGGTAAAAAAATCTGCGTAGAATGCTTAGCGGCGAAAAAATGGAGGAAAAATAACTGAACGTTTGTCAGCCAGAAAACAACTTTTGATTGCGTCGGCTTTATGAAGCGCTAAATTGATTTGCCTGCCGGTTATTAAGGCATAACTAAAAATATTAACGAACCCAGGCCAGCTGACGTCCCATCATTTATCACTAGAAAAGTTTTTTCTTTTTATGATAATGTGAATTTCGTCGAAGGACGACGCCCACAAAAAAGACCCCGCCCATCATTAGTTAACGAGGTCGCCCGAGATGTTGACAAGTTTGTGTGTGTGGCCCAAAATTGATATGAAATTTGGAATACGTAAACTTGTTTGCTTATTAGTCATTAAACTCAGATATTGGTGCCCTTAAACGAAGCAATAAATTCCGTAGCCAAAATCAATCCGCAATGTTTTCCTTGGTTAAGCAAATATTTATAATAAAATTTGCATTTAAATTCTTTAGTAAATGAAAACCTTAGGTTGATGGACCATGAATTTAGTGAAATTAAATCGTTACCCGAGCGTCCAATTAAGAACTTCTTAATATGCAAATTGGATTCATGAACAAAGTCATGAAAGTTAATTTGTCATTAAAATAATGCATCTCTGTTCTTTTGTTGTGGATGCCTCCTCCGCCAAATGGTGGAACTAAATACTGCAGTCTCATGGAGAAACGGGGGATAGAACCGAACTGAGATGCTCAATTATGGGCTAAGTAAATAAAGGACAAGGAGTCTGCATGAAATACGAGCGATGACAGCGCAAAGCGAGCACAAAAAGAGGTCCTGCAGCACGTTTTAAGGGGTGTTTTTTCCTTTTTATTGGGGGTAAGGAGATCGGGGTTTTGGGGTAAGGAGCAAGTGGCAAGGGGCAGGGGGGAAATGACAGGAAAGGTGTGCGGACGTGCATGAATTTTATGCAAAGTTGACGAAAATCGCGCATAGAAGGCGAGGCCCTTTGTAATTTTTTCGTAACTTGGCCAGGAGGTAACTCTGCAAATTGGCAATCAAGCCGGCCGGAGGACAATGCCGCTGGTGCGGAATGGTTTTATGCAAATTACGAAAGAATTACACGGAGCGCGAGCACTTCTAATTGCTTTTTCACAGCTAATTATGGCTGGATGGTTGCTAAAAACCAGTTTCCAAAAAAACATCACGTATACGCACCTTAATTTTCTAACACGCATCACAGAAATAATAACAAGCAGATTGCCGCAGATGGCCGCAATGATGATGAGCAGCATGACGAAGGCCTTGAACACCCACACGATGTTGTCCAGCCAATCCTCGTCGGGACTTAGAGTGCCCACACCCTGATCCTTGAGTCCGCTCTCGTTGAAGAACAGTCCCGCCGCCGTGCTGCTCAGCAGTGTGGCATTCAGTTCGTGGGTGGCGGGCGTGGCAGTGCCCTGCGATGGCAGTGCGGAGGAGGAGGATCCTGCCGAGGCTGCTCCGGTGGAGGACCCAGTGGCCAGGGCGTTCGATGTGTGCAACATGGCCGCCGTGGCAAGGGCAGCCGCTGTGACCCTTGCCAGGGTTAAACTTTGGCGTTGACTTTGACTTTGACTGTGATTTTGATTTTGATTTTGGCTATAACTAAGTGATGTTGCAGTTGGCTCATCCGGCTGGATATCCTGTTGGCCATCATTTTGGCTGCAGCAACACCTCGGTCTTTTGCGTATCCTGGCGACACTCGTTCGATGCCTCTGCCGCGGTGGCTCCGGGCCAATTTCGGGACACAACAACATGAGTCGGGCTGTCTGGGCTTTCCCTCTGTTTTCTATTTTTTTTCTCTCTTTTTTTGGCTTCGCTTTCTTTGGCTTTGTAGCTGGCCTCTTAACACTGTTTCCGATTATGTTATTTTGTTTCGCACTTCGTCTAACTCGGAACAACACCCACAGGAACCGCCATTTGGAAATTCACGACACGCGTAGCGCCGGCGACGTTGAAACCAAAACTGAAACACGGCCACCGCAACGGAAATTGATTCGCGAAAGTGGCCAACGACAACGATGTCGCCGCTGCCTCAGTTTCAGCCACAGTTTCAGTCGCTGCCAACGTCAACGGCCGGCCACCAAATGCTGTCCTTGCCAGCGAAAAAGCCGCCCACACGCTCTCGATGGCCTCGCTTTTCCGTTGATTTTCCCGTAGCTTTTCCGCCGCTGCTGCTGCTGCTGTTGCTGCTGCTTCTGCTGCTTTTGCCGCTTTTGTTTGATGGAGGAGGCTACCTCGGCTGGACGACAATTTTTCTGGCTATTTACTGTGTGCGGCTTCTATTTTTTGTAAATTTTTTTATGCTGCTGCTGCTGCTGTTCGCTGATTGGGTTTTTTTTCTAGCTCCAAGCGGCTGCTTTTTAATTCTGTTCATATTTTTTTGCCGCCGCGGTTGCTGCCGCCTTGTGTTGTAGTCGCCGAAAATTCGTTGATTTCTTTTAGTTTTATTTTTAACATTTCTTGGGCTTCAAATTATTTTTAGTTTGTTTCGGCCAAGTGGTCGGTTTTTTAGCTCTGCTTCCCACTAATTCAGATATTGTTATTCGATGTTATGCCTCCTGGAACTGTGCCATAAATGTTGGATCCGAAAAAAAGAAGAAAAAAATAAAAAGAATAATAAGAACATGGAAAAACATGGGCTGGATTTTCTTTTCGTTGCCCCGATTATAATCACTTTTTTGCATTATCTAGTTGTTGCCGCTGGCATTTGTATCGATTTGAGTCAATATTTGTTTATTTACTGACGCAGAAGTTGAGTTGTTGATGTTGTGCGTGTTCTCCCGACTTTTATGCGAATCGAACAGGGTGTATTTTTTTGTTTTGTTTGATTCAATCACTGTTTGTGTTTTTACGGTGAGTGGTATTACGAAATGCAGGGATTTTATTGATTTGTTTTCTTTGATAAATATTTAAAAAAAATTTTAAACTCCTTAATTTATATTCGAAATTTATACGAAATTGTCAAAACTGTGTTTCTAAAGAAACAGAATTATAAGCAAAAGGTGTATTTAAACAAATAGACTTATGGTTAATATTTTACTTTGTGCCTCTATGAAAGCTAAAATTTTAAAGCAAAAGCAAATGTATTTAATCCTTAATAATATTAATAATTTAAATCATGTAAGTTTGATTGTTTAATACTCTATTAACAGCCTAGATATACAATAATCTCTTTCAGTATCCTGAAATAAACTCTAATAATCCAAAGGAAACGCCTCCTTAATGATGTCATGTTATGAATCCTGCTATCTTAAACCCAAATCTTAATCGCTGCTGACCAAATACCACACCCTGTATAAGAGCTATGATTTATATGACAACAGCTGGGCGAAAGAATGTCATTCGCTTCAAATGCCTTTTAGCATACAACGGCCATATCTACATCTAAATCTCGATGAGTATATTCCGCTCTGGTCTCATTCTTCTTTCCACTGTTTCCCCCAACTAAGTGTTGGGAAAATGTGAAAATGTCCTATGCCATTTTTTGTTGCCCCTCGCGGATTCATTTAGAATATAGAATATGGCTTCGGTTATATAGTATGCTAGTCTAGTCTATATATTTATTCATTTCGATGTGTATTTATATTTATTCTTTCCCGAATTTATTTCCTGATGATGATGTTTTATTTTCATGTTCGCACACGCTTTCAACGCTCGCAACTTGGCCGACTGTTTGATGTTGTTGCCGTACAACAAATTGGCCACTCGAGTTTTGGTGGCCACGAGCTCTAAATTATACGTTGCTCACTCGCGTAGGGGTTTTATTTTCTTTTTTTTTTAGAATTTATTGCACGTTTTCTACGACAATCTTTTGAGTTGACTTTTTGCGTTTTGAATTGGGATTTTCGGTTTCAGTTTCTCGGATTGCAAAGACTGTTAATTAGGGAAATGAAAGTGTCCACACGCTGAAGTTTCCCGCAGTGAGTCAAACCATATGGCGAAGGGTTGTTGATTTTCCTGCCACGCCCTGGCGCTTTTCCAAGTTGAGCAACTGCAAAAAATAATAAGAAGACAGAGGGGGGAAAAGTGAATACGTTATACGTAGAATATTATTTAAGAATACATAAATATTGGCGAACAACAAAAGCAAACATTGGAAAACATTCTGCTTGTCGTATTTATTTTATTTTTATAAATAAAATACAACAATTTCTTTTTATGAATGCCCAGCTCATCAAAGTGCCGTCGCAGAGGCGTTGGTTGTTGTTCAAGTTTTGTTTTCATTTTCTTTTTGTTTTTATAATTTTTTAATTTATAATTTTGCACTGGGCGGCGGCAGCACTTTGGTTCGCAGGCGCGTGGGCGTATAATTAATTTTGTGGCAAAATGAATTTCCTTCAGTTTTATGTATAAATAGATTAAAAGTTGATTTAATTAATGGTTTTTGGGTTCTCCAAGTACCGAGCGGCGGGAGCGAAAGGGCTATGGATCGCAAATCAGACATGTTTCTCTATGTATTTTGTATTTTCCCCCCATCGAATTTGTCAGCAAACACGGAATCTCGTTGGCCAACTCAGAAGGTTAGCGGATGAATGACAAGCGATGACAGTGTCCCGGCAACGGAAGCACGAGCTATGGAGCCCCAAATGCGCCGGACGCAGCTGTCTTGTATCCGCGAATCTCTGTTTCTGTATCTGTATCTGTATTTGTATCTGTATCTGTATCTGTATTTGTATCTGTATCCGTATCTCTATCTGTTTTTGCATCTACGCCATGTTCCATCGTGCAGTTAACGACTGGCACATTAGCAGCAGCCAAATGCCAATGTTAATGTCATGAAAATCATTTTTTAAATTTAATTTAGCTCTGCGTACTCTCAAAATACCCACTAAATACACATTCTACATATAGTTGCGGCTGTTCGAGAGGATGCTGTTTTTGCTCTTGGCATTGGACGGCCTCGACTGTTTAGTTTCTGGTTTGTGCGGCCAAATTGTTGCCAAATTTCGCGACAAACGAACAAAGTGTGCAGTGCAAGTGCAAGTTGAGGAAATATCAATAAACTGTGTGATTCTGCTCCAGGTTTCTTGTTTCTTGTTTTTTTTTTTGGTCCAGCTAATTAAGCTCGACAACAGACTCCTTTCAAAAAAGGAGGAAAGTTTGGCGCATGCTCTATCTTCTTGAAAGTTTAATTAATTAACTTGCATTTATTTTTATTTAATAAACAAAACTTTTCGTTTTTACACGCACTCAAGAAATTCTCTTTTCTTCTCCTTCCTCTTGGCGAGTGTGTCGCCTTTTATTTGCTCTTGGCAACTCGCCACACCCCCTCACTTACACCTGCCCCTTCTGTCCCACCTGCCCCTTCTTCCCCACCTGCTCTTTCTTGCCCCACTTGCCTCACCATCGTCTTCGCACACCTGAGCTGCACCGAATGGTTTTGTTTTCTCTTCTGTCTTGAAGACACAATTCCTTCTCCTGCCCCGAAAATTTTAAATGACTTAAATTTAATTTCCCCGACTTTAATGAGTTTTAAGGCAGCCATCAGGTCTGTTGTTATTTGGAAATAAACAGCATTTGCGGCTTGTCAATTACGAAAATATTTTCATTAAATGCCATGTTAACACAATATATTTTACGGGAATTCAAAACATTTTCATCCATTATTTGTACCTTATTAAACATGCTGATATGATTTTAATTTATAATTTTGCATGTGGAAATGTAGGAATTTCATTTTGGGTATGAAAATATTATTTTCGCAGGCGGCCCTTGTATTTGCCCCACTTAAGATATTTTTGATGTTTATAAATAAATACAACACAAAAAAAGGTATTTTTATTCATTTTATTATAACTGCCCATGATAAATCATTGTAATTATCTTGCTGTTTATTTAAATGGGTTCTTTATTATTTTCCCAATGTATGAATAACTGAACAATTTTACCAAAAAACTCTTAAAGTTTCTAAATTTAAGGCCCAATTCGTTGAGCGATATGACTCTCAAAATTCTTTAATTAATTCCGCGCACAATTCTAAAGTATTTTTCGTTCATTGAAAGCGCAGAGAGGAATTGATATTTGAAAATAAAATCCATTTCATTTAATTGCCTGCGTCACTTCACTGGACTCAAACAAACACACACAGAAAAGCGACAATGATGATTCTGTTTTTTTTGTCATTGACCATACGAAAACCATTTTAATTTCATTAAAATTTTTTATATGGCATCTGGGGCTTGCCCCTTTTATGTTAATTCTTATTTGGCGGATTCGTGTGTGTGTTGACAAGGTGCTTGACTGACAAAATAACCCATCAAGTGTCGCCGTAGAAAAACAACAGAGAGCTGCGGGAAAAATCAGCGTTGAAGTGCTCGAGTGGATTGTCCGCAGGCACTTTTAATGCAAATAAATTGTGGGCCGATTAAAGGCGATTTAAGTTGATGGATACATCATAATGAGCATCACAATCGACGCAACAGCAGCCCCATCAATGCAGTGACACACTTGAACTGTTAATGGAATCCCCGTCCAATTTTGTCACGCAGCCTGCAAATAAATCACATGAATAAAGCCCCAAGTCCCCAAGTCACCAAGTTTCATGTTCCATTTTTCTCGTTGTGTGCATTGCCTATACTTTTACATATTTAATTTTCGCTTTCTTTGCTGCAAATCTTTCACACAGACGCACCCACACACACACACACACTCACGCAGCGGGAAAAGCTTTTCAATTTCGAGTTCCATAGATAAATTTGCCGGGCTGCCAACTGTAAGCGATTTAGAGAAAAGGGGGCTGAGTTGGAGATATGAGCAAAAAGCAAAAGCAAAACGAGGAACGCCCGAGGCGTTGCGATTTTATTGGCCGTAAAGTAGGCAGCCATGAAATAGGAGTCGTCGAGATCTGGGCCTTCCTTTCAGTCTGGCTGTGGGTCTTTGGGCCCCAAACGCTAAGCGAAACACGAGCGGCCATTTAAAAGCCATTGTAGCTACATCCACAAAGTCCACACAATGAAAAACGAAACTTGGCTAAATAGACGGCAAAAAATACGCGCCGATTGATGCCCCATTGTGGTGGCTTGAAAGGAGAGAATAAAATTGAGAGGGGGAGAGGGCGAGGGGGAGGGGGATGGGACTAGGGCCCTGTGCGAATCTGAAGGATAAGCCACACAAAACAAATGTCAAAGTCAACACCCAAACCAAAGCAAACACAAATAGATTCCCTCCTTTCTCCTTCCACTTTCCCCAATTTTCCCCTTCGCACACACTTAAGCTGCAGCTTCGATACAATGAAAGGGGGAAAATTGGGGAGTGGTGCTTGGGGATATATAGATCGATTGCCTTGATATTTCACGACCAGGCCAGGCACTTCAACTCTAACGTGCTCTATTCTGCCAGCACGATGGAAATTGGGAAGGAAGTACACCAAGGAAAACAATGATGAAATTGTAATTAAGCAGAACCCTCAGGAAGTGAATATCTAAAAGCAGGTAAGCCTTTGTTGAGTAGTGAGCAGGAGTAAATATATCTAAACAAATAATATTCTATGATAGAGCACAAAAAATAATATTGATTTTTAATTAAAAGCATTTTTATTCAATCCTGAATATTTGAATAAACAAAC